ACGGATTATGGTTTATTATTGGCAGATTTAATTTTTTGAAATAATAACCAAGCCGACTTAACCATATCAACTGACCCTGCACATAATTTGAGTGATGCTTTTGGCCAAAAATTCAGTAAAGAAGCTACTCTGGTAGATGGGTTTACAAATTTGTATGCGATGGTAATGTAACATTTTTTGATTAATTTTGAATGACAAATTATTTATATCAATATTTTATAATCTAGTTCGCATTTTAATATAGTTTACACGTTTATTATTTAAATGACTTTATTTAGGAAATTGACCCAACATCATCGATCCAAGAAATGTTAGAACAATGTATTTATATATTCTTTTTTTTTTTTTTAAAAAAAAAAATAGTAGATACCTGTATTTCTTGTACATTAATCCAGTATTGTTTTTTTTTTTACATTAGCTGAACAACAAGGTGGAGGAGCTATGGGAGCTATGATGCAGGACCTTGCGTTTGCCATTCCTGGTGTTGATGAAGCAATGGGGTTCGCTGAAGTTATGAAGTAAATAAATAGGTCATTTGTTTCAGGTAGGGATTGGACCCGTTAAAAACTCCCCGAGTAAAACGGTTAGAGAATGAATCCATTAAAGAAAAAAAATATACTGTCAGATAATTCAGATGTTTTGGGTTGGTATTTTTATATATTAATCAACCCAGGAATGTTCTGGTTGCACCTAACTTTGGCTGATTCAGTCAGGATTACGCTTTACTCATAGAATAGCCGTGGAAACGCCCATCGGGTCCAATCCCTAATTTCAGGATCGATAAATTAATTTTTATATTTATATTCGTTTACTAATTTATCAGGCAAGTAAAAACTATGGAATATTCAGTAATCATCTTTGATACCGCCCCCACTGGTCATACATTGCGGTTTTTGAGCTTTCCTAGTGTGTTGGAAAAGGCATTAGCAAAAATTGCGCAATTGAGTGGACGATTCGGACCAGTTTTTCAGCAAGTAAGAGAGAAATATTACGCTATGTGGAAAATGGGGCAAATTTATATAAACACATGCTTTTAGTAAGAGTTAAGAAATTTTATTAATTTCTTGTGGACGAAATTACAGATGTCTGGTATGATGGGTCTTAATGCTAATCAAGAAGATATGTTTGGAAAACTTGAAGGAATGCGCGCCATTATTACAGAAGTGAATAATCAATTTAAAGATCCGGTACGTTGATTTAAAACCATTTTCCTTTTAATTACATATATTATGAATTTTAATAACAATAAATTTAATTTTTTATAATAATAGGATAAGACCACATTCATTTGCGTGTGTATTTCCGAGTTCTTGTCTCTCTATGAGACAGAACGAATGATTCAAGAATTAACCACTTATCATATCGACACACACAATATCGTTGTAAATCAATTATTGTTTCCACGGAAAGGTAAATTTCATACTTTGACATTTGTTTAGCATATATCGATATTAATTTTTATCGATATTAATTTTATCAATTTATTGCTATTGAGAAACTCATAAAATACTTTGAATACGTAAATTTTTTAATAGATTCTGATTGTGAACAATGCCTGGTTCGGCACAAAATGCAACAAAAATATCTAGACCAAATTTACAACCTTTATGAAGATTTTCATATTGTTTTAATGCCACTTTTAACAAAAGAAATACGTGGTACACAAGATATCAAAGAGTTTTCTGAAATGCTAGTCAAACCATTTGCACCTCCAGATTATTCAATGATGGATGACAGTCAGTGAAAGTTAATGATTGTAGTCGGTTAAAACTGATATGCTTAGCCGAGTCAATAATTTTGATATGGTTAAGTCGGCTTGGTTATTATTTCAAAAAATTAAATCTGCCAATAATAAACCATAATCCGTATTTTATTTTTTATTTACATAAATAAAAAAAGGTAAAACGTCATTGTATATGATCTAAAGTAAAATAGAAAAAGATTGTCGTGACGTAACATTCTCAAAATGAAGCTGATCTAGAATGTAGTCCGATGGAATTCATTATGCCATAATATAATCGTGACGGTGCGATTCAGTCCATTTTTCAAAGAAAAAATAAATATGTAAATACGAATGAACAAAATAAACAGACAAATAAAGGCCAATTTCGTTACAATTAAAGTATCCCCGTCGAAATTCATTTTTCGAATTTCGGTTAGAAACATTATTCACGACGCCCTCTGCTGTAGCGTCCGAAATAACACCCGGGGCGTTATCTGAAACACGATTTAAAGAGAGCTAAGAATTATTTTATCCGAGTGCGAACAATAATTTTGCTTGAAATGTTCAACTAAAATAATTTTTAATTATCTTTTAAATTGTGTCCTAGTAAATTCGTATATGCAAAATTAACTTGTCCCCTTTAAAACCTTCGGCAGCCCCCTAAATTCTTTATAGAAAAAATTATTAGCATCAAACGTGCCTTACCTTACCTGTCGCGTTTACTATAAGCAGCCAATGAAATTTCAAGGATTTCATCATGCTTATTCACGCGTTCTCGACGTGATTTAAGTAGATTCTGAATTTTAATTTCTCCATGTATTTTATTCATTCATTTTTCATATTCTCTTATATTTTCTTAAATATATTATTTGATATAAACGTTTGGTTTAAAAAATTATAATGTTTGTAGTCGACCTAAATTTATTGGATAGACTCAGTATTATTTAGGTTTAGTTCTTCGAAATATACGACTTTGCCTACCCTAATTATAAGTCAATTTCTAAAAACAGACCGACTTAGTCGACTAAGTCGATTCTATCGGCTAACATCAAATCGACTACAATTACTGAAAAATTATTTCTGTTAGGGATCCATCCTATAAGCAAAAAGCAAGATATTAAATTTGTTATCGGTTACAGGCCGGTTATAACCATTCCGTAACCGATAACTAATTTTGAAAAATTTGGATTTTGAAGTATCTTGCTTTTTGCTTATAATACAGTATATCAAGATTAACTTTAATTAATAGAAAAATCTAGAAAATTATGATCGATCATATAAGTACTGTTATATTTGATAATATTAGTATGAAAGTAACAAATATCACTGTGACAATACTCAATAAAATCAAAATCTTGAATTATTATTTATAAAGTATGAAACTAGAAGTAATAAATT